GTTACTGCTATATCTGAGGAAGTACTGGATGGATCCTTCTGATATTTCATAGATAGTGATCCTTTCATAGATCCTTTTTTGGACTGATTTAAAACCAAGGTGGCCCACAGGCCGCCATCTTGGATGTCGACAGTAATACAGCACAAACATATTGTCCATTATCCAACTGTAACTGACTGCTATCTAATAATACTTGGGGATCTTTTTCAAATGATATTTGCTAATAAGTGCTTAATAAAAATATCTTGTGCCATCATTGAATATATTCAATGAAGACCAGTTCATGAATATTTACAACACCTGTAACAAACAAAAAAAAATAAACAAATCTTCAAGAACTGAAAATAGATCCTCAAATGGTGGGCGCCAAGATCCCTCTGGGATCTCTTGTTTATTTATATGTACCTGCATTAATAGTTACATTTATGAGCAATTACACTTTGTGAACAGTAATTTACAGTTGTACATGTTTACAACATTTGCTCATTGGAATTCAAACTTATGTGATTAATGCAATCCTGGGCCTGTGTAGGTGTATTTTGTATGTTGCCAAAAACTTTCTTTATTGCTTGGATTATCTGAGTATGCTTTCATTAACATTTCAACTTAATGTTAGCTTCAGATAACTATTATGAAGAAATTGTTGTATGTCTTTCTTTCAACAATTTTTATAGTGGTCAGGAAAATGAATTGTCTGCCTTCTTCAATGAGACACTACTATGGCTATTTGACCTCTGTATCACTGATTGTATCATCGATTGATCAAAGCTCTGTGTGGCATGGGTAAAGACTCATTTCAATACTTGACGTAAAAAATGACAAATGATGTCTTACTAATGATAACAGGGAAACCTATCAAGATGTGACAGATCTTGGCAAACAAGTTTAAACCCTGACCGTATTTACTCTAAAGACGTGACTGATGTGAGAAAATAAGTTTAGATCTTGACCGTATTTATTCTAGAGATGTGACTGATCTAGAAAACAAGTGTAAATCCAAACTGTGATACGACTGACTGATCAAGGTAAATAAATGTAGACCTGCACCATGTTTATTTTAAAGATGTGACTGATCTGAGAAAATATATGTAGATCCATACCATATTTCCTGTAAAGATGTCAGTAGGGTTGTTTTGTAGTAAAGGAGTTGATATGCTGTACAAGAAATCCCTAATATAATACTTGTGTAATTGGAGTAAAGGACAGTGTTAGGTGTACTTGTTACCAGTGGCACACCTCTCAGTTAGAACATTGAACATTTAATCATGGCTGTAGATAACTAATTGAGTGGGGGATTTAGGTCAGAGTCTGGGGCATGTTATACTTTTACACCTCTGAAATCTACAACAGGTGCCTAATGTTTGTACATAATCTTTGGTGCAGTTGTGGCATTTGTTTAACTTTGGAGCAAACTTCCAAAGATTTCCATGGATTAGTTTATGTTTTACAGTCATAGTTTCTTTAAGGAAAAGTAAATTTTACATGGTTTGTCAATCTTACAAATACAGGCTTGTGTGAAAGCAGCTGGTTTAATGCAGCTTGTATCAATGTATTCCTGAACTCAGGGATAAGCATTTACTGCAACTCATTTTAAAATAGAATTCTGTAAACAATAGTGAACAACTTACAGGTAAATTGGAAATTCATTTATCAGATTTCAAGGGTTGGTCTAATGTGTTTTGACGAATGTATTTCTTCTTGTGGTTACATGTCGACAATATTTTACATGTCTGTGTTATCATAATTCAAAGTGGATGTTCAGATCTCCCATCAACTTAATGCTGGAGGATATTCCTTCTGCAGAATTCAGAACTGCAATAATGCCTTAATGTGTTTTTTTTTTACGTTCATTAGACTTTTTTTGTTTCCAGACCATATGTATTTGATATACAAGCATAGGGAAGATAGATAAAAGGAAGGATAAGTTGTGTTCAAATTAGATTGTAATCTAGTGGCATTCCTAATTACTGGAAAAGTGGTCAATAATTCTTGGTCTAGTTGTCACTCAAATATTGGTTAATTGATCATTTTTTTCAAGCATACAAAAAGAGCTGATCTGTCATCACAGCATTTTCCTCATCCACTGTGATTTACATTTATCTGGCACCATTTGAAACACTTAAAGCTGAATTAAACCTATTGTGACATGATAAAAACATCATGTTAGATGTCTCCTTTTGTCAGCTCTGTTCAGATGTCAGTCAAACTTGTTTGTCAAAATGTCATCTTCAGGATGGCAATTCACAGGGAAGTTGTTAGAGAAGAATAAAACAAATATATGTTTCTCAAGCAGTTGTAGTATAGTCATACTAAAAATATTTGTGATGTCATCCCACTGTACATCAGCAGCAGATACCAGTACACTTATGTCCCCAAGTCAAGTGGTCACAGGAAGTGTAAACCATTTCGACTCATAATCTCTCTCGTACACATCTACAAACTTCAAATGTAAATGCACATTCCTACACTTAAAGTCCTCAGCAGTTTCCCATACTGTCATGTAAGCCAGTATATGACAACTTGTTTATTGTCCACTGCATTTTTCACACTGTTATGTAGACCAATTTATTATAAATATTGAGGAGATCAGTTTATCTCAGTGTTGTGTTGACTAGTTTATCTAACTGTTGTGTAGGCCAGTTTATCTTAATGTTGTGTAGGTTAGTTTATCTTATTGTTGTTTCCACTAGTTTATCTTACTGTTGTGAGTGCCAGTTTATCTAACTGTTGTGAGTGCCTGTTTATCTAACTGTTGTGAGTGCCAGTTTATCTAAATGTTGTGAGTGCTAGTTTATCTAACTGTTGTGAGTGCCTGTTTATCTTACTGTTGTTTCCACTAGTTTATCTTACTGTTGTTTCCACTAGTTTATCTTACTGTTGTGTAGGCTAGTTTATCTTATTGTTGTTTCCACTAGTTTATCTTACTGTTGTGTAGGTTAGTTTATCTTATTGTTGTTTCCACTAGTTTATCTTACTGTTGTGTAGGTTAGTTTATCTTATTGTTGTTTCCACTAGTTTATCTTAATGTTGTGTAGGTTAGTTTATCTTACTGTTGTTTCCACTAGTTTATCTTACTGTTGTGAGTGCCAGTTTATCTAACTGTTGTGAGTGCCAGTTTATCTAAATGTTGTGAGTGCTAGTTTATCTAACTGTTGTTTCCACTAGTTTATCTTACTGTTGTGTAGGCTAGTTTATCTTATTGTTGTTTCCACTAGTTTATCGTACTGTTGTTTCCACTAGTTTATCTAACTGTTGTGAGGCTAGTTTATCTTACTGTTGTTTCCACTAGTTTATCTTACTGTTGTGTAGGCTAGTTTATCTTATTGTTGTTTCCACTAGTTTATCGTACTGTTGTTTCCACTAGTTTATCGTACTGTTGTGAGGCTAGTTTATCTTACTGTTGTGAGGCTAGTTTATCTTACTGTTGTGAGGCTAGTTTATCTTACTGTTGTGAGGCTAGTTTATCTTACTGTTGTTTCCACTAGTTTATCTTACTGTTGTGTAGGCTAGTTTATCTTATTGTTGTTTCCACTAGTTTATCTTACTGTTGTGTAGGCTAGTTTATCTTATTGTTGTTTCCACTAGTTTATCTTAATGTTGTGTAGGTTAGTTTATCTTACTGTTGTTTCCACTAGTTTATCTTAATGTTGTGAGTGCCTGTTTATCTAACTGTTGTGAGTGCCTGTTTATCTAACTATTGTGAGTGCCAGTTTATCTAAATGTTGTGAGTGCTAGTTTATCTAACTGTTGTGAGTGCCTGTTTATCTTACTGTTGTTTCCACTAGTTTATCTTACTGTTGTGAGGCTAGTTTATCTTACTGTTGTTTCCACTAGTTTATCTTACTGTTGTGTAGGCTAGTTTATTTTATTGTTGTTTCCACTAGTTTATCTTAATGTTGTGAGTGCCAGTTTATCTAACTGTTGTGAGTGCCAGTTTATCTAAATGTTGTGAGTGCTAGTTTATCTAACTGTTGTGAGTGCTTGTTTATCTTACTGTTGTTTCCACTAAATTATCTTACTGATGTTTCCACTAGTTTATCTTACTGTTGTGAGGCTAGTTTATCTTAATGTTGTTTCCACTAGTTTATCTTACTGTTGTTTCCACTAGTTTATCTAACTGTTGTTTCCACTAGTTTATCTTACTGTTGTTTCCACTAGTTTATCTTACTGTTGTTTCCACTAGTTTATCTTATTGTTGTTTCCACTAGTTTATCTTACTGTTGTTTCCACTAGTTTATCTTACTGTTGTGTAGGTTAGTTTATCTTACTGTTGTGAGGGCTATTTCATGTTATTGTTGTGTGTGTCAGTTTATCTTAGTGTTTTGTCGTTTAGTTTATCTTAATGTTGTGTAGATTAGTTTATTACTTTGTTTTGAGACCAGTGTATCTTACAGCTGTTTCAGCTTGTGTATATTACTGTTGTGTGGGCCAGTTTAACTTACTGTTTTGTGGGCAGTTTTTTTTAAAGTATTTTCCATATTTTTTTCCTCAACAGATAATTGCCTTTGTTCAGTTATAATGTATTTTTGCAAAGCCTGTGAAGAAAACAAGTGGACTCTCTTCCACAAACATTTATGAAACAGTTTCATGTCATGTTGTTTACCCTTCAAAAGGAAAAAATATTGTATCTATCTGAAATGTAGTCCTTATTCTGGCAGTGAAGGTACAATATTACAATTATAATGTCACACACTTTTCCTGTGTACACTTATAGACATCGATGTTTTGTCTTCCTTGTCTCATATAAAATCACTGTCAAAGCTAGATCTACCTTATTGTCAAACATCTTATGATACATATGTATGTCCTTTGTCCTTCTCCAAATTTGTAGACTGGTTTTAAGTGACATCATATCATTTGTATAGCTGTTTTCACTCAGGCCAGGAAGTTGTTTTCCCGTGGTAAAACTAGAAATAACTTCAGTACCAGTAGTTGATGGATACAGATATGGTTTTGCCTCCAAGTCTTTATCTATTATTAAGTGTATAGATGAAATTACAGGGATTGAACACCCAACAGGTATATGAAGACCATGTGATTGTTGCTGACAACCAATTTATCAATATGGATTTACAAGATAAGTTGTAATAGGTGTTAGTAAATCTCATTGACAAATTTACAAAGAGTAAGGTTAATGATTCCACTACTTGTTGATTGGCCATGACTATCTATTAAGGTATATCTATAATATGAAGATATTCTATACTAAAGCCCCTCAGTTTTATATAGCCTTCTGATACCCTACTAAAGATGACCTTCAGACTTAAGATTGGTTCCACTGGAGATGAAACTGCCTGGTAGTTTGAATGGCTCTAATTTTAAACAAATTAAAATCAATTGGTCTCTCTTTTTGTATGTAGATACTTCATATCATTTCATCTCTGTAAATTGACTTCCTCTAGTATGTTTTGTGGTCTAGAATTCTATAGGAGAGAGATAGAATCTTTGGTCTGTATACTGCCCACTTTTAGGAGAATAATTCTTGGCTGATGTTGAATGGTCTTTAGTCCTTGGTATTACATTCAATGGTTTTTAAACTTAACTGATGTTCTACAAGATACCTTATACAAGTGGGTATACAGTGGTGAACCTAGATCCCAAAGGTTTTACAAGCTGTTGTCAAATTTCCAACTTTACTTCGAAATTTGATAGGTACTCGGAAAGGAAGATAAATAGGAGGACATGATGATTTTAACTTAAAAGACTTGCTTCCCTTTTAGAGTTTAAAGTACAGCACCACCAGTTTAATTGATATTGGATGTATCATAACAGAGGAGCACTTGTTCATTGCTTATTAACACCTGGGAACTATGATATTTGAAGAACTTGACTTCACTTTTAACCAAAAAATGAAAATTTCTTCAACTAAGCATTAAAAGCTCTGTGGAAAGATGGTTATAGTTCTCAATCACTCCACCTCCTCACATTGTTTTTCCCGTCAATGTCCAGAGTTCATTATAATGGATTTCTCTATCAATTTGGCAGCTTCCTTTCAGATCTGGAAGTCAAAGGCTACTGTTACTTTGAATAGAAAATTGGTTTCTACACCATATATCAAGTCCTATACGACAAAGTCAGCTCATACTTCCTCCACTGCTTCCTTAAGAAAGTACATGGTCATGTTTGGTTTCCAGGATTGTATTTTAATTATTCATCGCATCATTTTTTGTAAAAGTCTGCATATAAGTATTTTCCTTTCTTACCTGGAGTATGAAATTTTATAATTATTATGATAAACATCAAGGTCTCTCTGGGAAATTTTACATTACGTGAGGTAAACCATTGGTACAAAATAAGTTTGAGATAATACATCATCATACTTTTATCAAAGTTATGCTTTCACATACCACAATTGAATTACAAAATCAGCAGTCGAGAACTGAGAAGGCTTCATATTGCTTTACTTTTCTTTTTGTTAATGAGATTTGCCTTGAAGCGGAAAACTGTGTACCATATGATTTGCCTTATTGTGACTTCTCTTTGTCAAAGTCTTCATGTTAAATAAAGTACTACATTGTGGTATCACCATTAGATACCACCAACTAGACAGACTGATAACATATTCCTAATAATTTGGTGGTCAGACAGGACAACAATAGTAACAGCTAAAGTCATACTCTTCTAGTAGTTATCTTTATACCCAAACAGTAAAAAATTCTACTTTTGCATTTCTTTTGATTGTACTCCATGACTTTTACAAAATGACATTTTCCCAGGAGATAAGCAATTTTCACTACTTACCTGTATATTTTTTCTATTTTTCACTGTCTTACTTTGTACTTGGAAAATGTAAGCAAAATTGAATTTAAGTTAGTGGAACAGATTTTTAATAGGCTGTGTTGACGGTGTGGATCAAGATGAATACTAGATTTCTGAGTTGTGCTGTCATCTGTTGACCATGAGCCCAAACATAGTTATCAACAGTTCATAGCAGAATAAAATATTTTGTCTGGACTAGAAACATGACTCTGTCACAGTGGCCAGACCTATTCAGCATGAATCTATTAAATTACCCCTTTTCACCACTGTAGGAATGACAAAATTTACTCTCCCAGGGCACAATGACAATTTTCAACGAGAAAAGAAACCTTATCAGTCTGATATTGAATTACATCAATTTTAGGTTAATGTATTCAAGACTAACTTTTGTGGTTGAGGAATAGACTATTGAGTTCCTGTTTGTTTTTGAAGAAACACTATTGTAGTGATCTTGTAGGTTGCAGAGAGAAATACTGTTTAGGTGAATATGACAAAAAATAAGATTTTTTTATGCAGAGTTCTGGAAAAAAAAACGTACAAAAGGGATGGAGAAACACAAAGGAACAAAAATTGTAATATCTTAACAATGGACTAGCAGTAAATAATGAAAATGAGACTATTATCTGGATCACTGCACTCTGTACTCATTGTCAAAAATTGGTCAAGTATGTAGTTCAATGTCTTATCAGTGGATAAAACACAAAGTATGTACCAGACAAAGACTTTGAGAAACTTTTTTCTCATACCATTTCCGCATTCACAGTGCTATGGCCATGTCAAATTACGAACTTGATGATGATATGAGAATCCATGTTAAATTACAAACTTGATGATGATATGAGAATCCATGTTAAATTAATAACTTGATGATGATATGAGAATCCATGTTAAATTAATAACTTGATGATGATATGAGAATCCATGTTAAATTACGAACTTGATGATGATATGAGAATCCATGTCAAATTACAAACTTGATGATGATATGAGAATCCATGTTAAATTAATAACTTGATGATGATATGAGAATCCATGTCAAATTACGAACTTGATGATGATATGAGAATCCATGTTAAATTAATAACTTGATGATGATATGAGAATCCATATTAAATTACGAACTTGATGATGATATGAGAATCCATGTCAAATTACGAACTTGATGATGATATGAGAATCCATGTTAAATTAATAACTTGATGATGATATGAGAATCCATGTCAAATTACAAACTTGATGATGATATGAGAATCCATGTTAAATTAATAACTTGATGATGATATGAGAATCCATGTCAAATTATGAACATGATTGTGATATGAGAATCCATGTTAAATTAATAACTTGATGATGATATGAGAATCCATGTCAAATTACAAACTTGATGATGATATGAGAATCCATGTTAAATTAATAACTTGATGATGATATGAGAATCCATGTCAAATTACGAACATGATTGTGATATGAGAATCCATGTTAAATTAATAACTTGATGGTGATATGAGAATCCATGTCAAATTACGAACATGATTGTGATATGAGAATCCATGTTAAATTGATAACTTGATAGTGATATGAGAATCCATGTTAAATTAATAACTTGATAGTGATATGAGAATCCACATTAAAATAGTACAAGATTGTCAATTCAATGTTTTGGTAAATAACAAATGCAATTTTATAAATATCTGTGTCTGGTCCTTTGATTTTCTAAAATATGTATATTAGTAAACAAATCACATTTCATTTGTTTACAGTCATTCATCAGTCTTGAATGAAATTTTATTTCATCAGACAAACTTGTAGAGCAAGGTAAAAAAAGTTTGAAGGCCAGATTATACTTCTTTCTGTGATCTATAACTTTATATGTACTGCATATACAAACATGGTAGAGTGTATTAATGGAGTGCTGTATTTAGTTAGCTGTGTAAACAAGGTACAAGTGTACACTAGTGATTATAAAGTTGTTACTGTTACAGGTGGCTTAATGTTATACCTCACACTCTGACTTATCAGTTAAAGTGGACAGGTGTAGTACATTATTAAACTTCAGTAAATCTTACCAGATGTAAAACACATCACTATACTTGTGGTGAAGGAGATATACTAGCGTATCATGTATCTGTGATGGACATTTCCATTGTGAAGATGTGAATATTGTAAATTCTGTAATCATTGTGAACTTCACTTTCAATGTGAAACTTTTTTGTCTCTATGAAATAAAATGTCAATGAAGAATATGGTACCGATGTAGACCTTCGTGTTAGAAAATTATTATGTTGGTTCACATGTACTTTATTGATACATGTCAACAGATAATTTGATTTCTCCCCCCCCCCCCCCCTCTTTTTTTTACTTGAGTCAGAATTCTGAGTTGTGTGATCTTAGTATCTTAAAATTGTTATGAAACTTGTCTTGAAGTTTTAATTTTTGCTCACTTAGCTATGCATGCAGAAATGAATAAATTTGAGACTCATTTCATAAAATCTTGCATAAAATGAAAACCCTTTAAAGATTCTGTTCATTAATGTATGTACAGTAAATATAGGTACATGTGAAAAGTAAATGAAGGCACTTGTGTGCAGTAATAGAGGTGCATGTGTAGAGTAACTACAGGTACACGTGTATTGTAAATGTTATGAAGATCTATGTTGACTGTAAATATTGGTACATAATATCAAAGCATATTGTCACCTCAGTCAATGCAGAAGCTTCACAAAATTCAATGGAAAACATGTAATGTATCAGTGGTCTGATAACAGATCATATACATGGCTTCAGTGCTAGGATATTAAAGTATTTGTTTATAGATATTAAACCACAGAGTGTTTAAATGGCTATACAAATAATGTCATATCTCTCATTGTGTACTTTAGTTATGACATACAGCTAGTTCAGTGCATTCAGACATATAAGATTTTCATTTGAGTTGTTCACCTGATAGAGACCAGTTTAAAAAAACTCCGTAAGGATTTCCACAAAGATGTCAAATTATGAATGTTCTCAATCTTTATGTATAAACATGAAAAGTTAAGGGAGGGGAGGTGAGAGGGGGTTGGGGGAGAGGTTTAAAGCAGAGATGAAAGTTAGTTATGCACTTGGAACACATGTAATGATTAAATGATGGAATGACAATTAAATGACCCCCTTGAAAAAATACCCTGTTTATTAAATATTGAAAACATGGTACTGCCTGTATATAAACCAGTAATGACTATTCCTAGCCTCAGCTGTGATATGTAGGCCCATCAGTGTTG